CTAAGATTTTGTATAAAACGCATAAAAAGAAGTGAGAAATGTAGTCAGAAACATTGTAAGTACCGACATTATCTCGGAAAATAAAAATGTATTATATAATGAGGGTGATAAAAAATGGCCAAATTTATGGTTCTTCCCACACCCAAAATTCGAATGAAAATTATAAATACTTTTTTTTTATTATTTGCATCGTTAATTTATCGTTTTGTAGTGTTGTTAATTAATTTTTTCACATACGATGAAAATATAGACTTTTATCTAGAAAATAACATTCGAATTGTATTTCATTCATTCGTTTAAAAGTTACAATTATTTAAAGTCAATAACTTCCAATTTATGTCTCCCCCTTGTTTGCTTTTTTTTACAACTTCCCATCGAAGTTCTGGTAAATAATTATACTGTCCTAATACCATGAAACTTATAGAATTATGTTTCATTTTAGGTGTGAGAACTGTAAATTTGGCGATTTTCTATCACCCTCTTTATTACTTATAAATCTTATATCCAGCGTCGGCGTAACCGTTTCTCGTCGTGAATAACGACTTTCCACCAGGCCACAAAACTCTATAAAAAGTAATTTAAAAAATAAGTACGCTTGAGAGAATTATTTATATTCTTTTTTTAACATCTTTCTGCTTTTCTTTCTTACCCATTTATTTTGCCTAAGATATCTTCGTAATACGATTCGTCTTTCCCAATCCTAAAAAAATCGCATTACGGTATACATATATGTATATATGTTTGTACAAGTTTTGCGTCATTAATTCAATAATTATCAGCATTAAAAATAATATTAACTCTTTGAGTTGTATGTGTTATAATAGTTATGGTCGAACTTGTGTACATACAGTCGAATGTGTACAGTTGGACTCATGCATAAACCAACTATACGTGTATGATTGTTCATTATACTTTCATTTTGATGTGATACCTTCCGTCTATTATTATTAATATTTCAAAATGCTAGATTTTAAGATTTTTATATATAGCACTTTCCAAAAATTAATTTTATTAGGTTTACTTTGTGAATAGATTTGTATGTGGCAGAACGGCATTATCATTACGCTCTTGGAAAACTGCACTTGCTTAGATATTTTTATCGACTTTCTATCACTTCATTGTTCCGTCTACAGCGTATCTTTATTTCTTTTCGAAGTTTTTATCTACTTTTATTTGCTTAGGCTCGGTTAACTTGTATGCTCTCACGACTACCAGATTTACACGAAACTGGCCATGCATTCTTCGCATTTTCTGCAAATTTTCTAGTATTCCATTAACTTTGTTCTTATGGTCGCATATAGTTTCAAATTAGTGCTTTTGTTTTGAATACAGCCCGGTACAGACGAATAATGCGATGTCATTGTGATTTCACAGCGGTGACGTTGTGCGCGATTCAGCAGCTTTATATTTCTAATGATACAATGCACGTGTGTGATCCCGCTACGAGAAATGTAAACACGCCAAATGGTACAGCGTCATCGCTGCGAAGTGTGTGATCATCCCTGACATGTCTTGAAAAAAAAATGGTAGAAAAGCGGATAAATTTTTTTATTCCTCGTATGATAAATACTTAATTGTTATTTGATATAAACTGAATTTTTACTAATATACACGATACACAGCATAAAAGTTCACTCTCGAGTTACACGCACGGTGACATAGCTACTAATATTAATTTTTTACTGCATAATATTTGAAAAAAATACAATTACAAATAAGTACATTCAAATAAATATGTTTTGAAATTCAAAATTAGTTTTGGAAAAGAACTTTTGAAGAATTATAAATTGAAACTTCTTCAATTCGTATGCATGTGTGCAGGAAAAATTTTGAACAATTTTCGGAGTAAAATCATCACTATTTTAAGTAAATACTGTTCAGGAACATGGTTTACAATTACTAAACACTTTGATAGTAGCAGTTTTTAATTTAAAAAAAGAAAACGAAATTTACTTCAACTAAATCTATTATTAAACCTTATAATTTAAAATATAGATACGTATACAGTAGACTCCCGCTTAACCGGCCGCTGTGGGACTGGACCCCTGGCCGGTTAATCCGACATGTTTTAGTTATCATTTCTAGGTAGTTACTGAACAAAAATTAACGTATAAGTATATCATTAATGTTTATTGCACATACTTAGAACATACATACATATAAACAATGTTTATTAAATATTATTTTTTACAAAAGAATCGGTAATCTTTTTCTGCTTCTTTGATTTAATTTCGTTTGATAATGCGATATCACGCTACTTTTTTAAAAATAAGATATCAATTGCAGATGAATTCTCTTGCTGCTCAATATATCTCATCGCAGTTTCAAGTGCAATCTTTCCTTCTGCATGACTCACTTCTTCATTCTTATATGGAAGTAACGTTTAAAATGCTTTTGAGATCGCTTGAAAAACGTTGCGACCGAATGTTCGATAGGATTGACTGACTGAGAAACGATGAGTTTGCTGTGCAACGATTGCCAATTATCTTTTGTTGAAATCCGCACCGTAATAAGGAAAGAAACACGAACTCTTCCTTGTATGCATTGTTTCCAAAGCGACAATATCGTGGATGAAAATATGATATGTAATATGTACATTGTATAAGTTTTTTATAATGCAGATGTACGGAATCCAGTACTCAAAAATTTAGTATGAATAGAAAATAAAATTAGTAAAAGGAAGACTATTTAAACAATGAAAAAAGTGGCAAAAAGTAAATTTAGTCGGAAGAAAGTGTACATATGTATGTCAATAATTTTTCTTCTGGTCAATTTTTTTCATGTCACCAAAAATGTGGCCGGTTAAAGCGGGGCCGGATAATCGGGAGTTTACTGCACATAGAGAAATCTACATAAGTAAGTGTATAAATTTTGAATAATTTGTTTTCTAAATATTAACTGAATTTTTCAATAAGTAATCATTGTCGTTACTAATGTTAAAATTAGTTAAAATTAGTTTCAAAGTTAGTTAAAGAAACTAGTTAAAATTCAAATTTTTTATAAATTATATTTCATATTATGTACTTCTTCACACTTACGTGACATATTTTTAATGTAATTATATATCACTATGATAAATTAATGTATTACTTATGTTGTCATTGTTCCTGCCGCTTATTACTAATAATAAAATCAGAATTATCAACAACGTTAAACACATACCAAATGGGAACAACCCTTCCACCAGCACTTTCAATAAATTTTACATACGATGCAGCGATGTAACTGTCCCCATCATAATGCGTTTTCACATACTCGCTTATTTCTTGTGATAAAATACCTTTTGAACATAAAATCAAGGAAAAATATTTTAAAAAATAGTACGCTAGCATCGCTTGTATGCACCAGGCTTAATACTTTGTCTGTGATAACACGTTTCATACATTTACTTTTAAATCCAACCACCATTAGTGTTATAACCTTATTCTATAATAAACTATTAGTGTCGTAATCTTATTTTATTTACCAATTATTGGCCGGTTGTTTTTGTAGGGCAACGAATAACAATCTCTTGAAATAATCCCAAAATTAAACGTAATAAATACGGAAATAATAAGTGCTAACGACATTTCTAACTTTGTGAAGAGTAGTAATTTTCGAGAACTGAAACATTGTGTTAAAGTTCTGCAGTATATACATTATGCAGAGATGAGATATTGACATCCTACCGACAAGCTAAACCAATACAGGAGACAGGGGAATCATCAATACTAAGGGGAGTTTTTAGTTTTATTATCACCAATGATAAGATAGCTAGTGAAATATTCATAATTCCATGTAATATTTCTTCGTAATATGAAATAATTTATAACAAAAAGACAACTAAATAACTTGTAGCAACAAATTTAATACATACTGTAAATATATTTTTGGATATAACAAAAAATATGTATTTTAAATCACTTAACTGTACACAAAATATCAAAATGTTTCACTTAACTTTTTATTCACAAAATTAATACATACACACATCTCATTGCATTAACAAAGTGTATGAAGGTTGATGTTTTGAAATTATTCAAAAATTTATGTAAAATATAGAAATAATGACAAAAATTTAATTAAATAGTAAAAATTATTTCAAATCAGGTACATAGTACTTAAACTAAGAGGCACGCAATTTCTTGTTGTATAGCTTGAATTTGTGGTTTTAACTGTGAGCCTTCATTAACTGTCACAGAACAAGCAACAATAGGTCTAGATACACCACATGCACGACCCAAAGCTTGTTTGCTCCTAACAAATACATATGGGACATTTTTGTCTTCACATAGTAATGGCAAATGTAACAAAATTTCTAAAGGCTCAGCATCTGCAGCCATTACAATAAATTCTGAGAGACCACGATTTAACGTTTTTGTTGCTTCATTAGCTCCTTTTCTTAACTGTTTATAATTCATTGCTTGTTGCACTAGATTCAAGATTCTTGCAGTTAAAGTAGCATCTGCCAAAGGATATGCTTTTGGATTAACTTCGTCTCCCTGTGTAACAAACATAAGTAATTAAAAAATATTTCTTAAATATTTTAAGTTAATATTAACATATACATAAATAAGTAATTAGAATCAACCTTATTCGTGATTAAAAATCATATTCATTGAAAATGCTTAAACAATAATATTCCACGTGTTGGACATAACCTTAAAAATAGCACGTGTATAAAAGGAAACAAATAACTGCAACTACTTATTGTTACAAAAACAAATAGATATTTACCATCTTTGAAGATTAAATTATATTTAGAAATATTTCGTGAAAAAATAATTGTATGTTACAAATTAGTTTCTCTTCTCCACGATTATGCTAACAACAAAATCGCTTCATGGAAGACTAACAATAGAAAACGACTCCACAAACTGCAACCATAGATGAGGTACAAAATAGATCTATCACCTTATGGGACTTCGTTTTTTACGTTCTAAAATACCGACCGTGCAAGAACTCAGAGGTTTTGTTTTGCCCTTTACGATTTAAACCGATGAGTTTAGAAATTAAGTTTAATCTAACCTTGATACACTAATGACATCAATAACTTTTAACCTCGATAATTTAATAACATTGATTCTTGGAAATACCATCAATTTCAGGAATTTCCGAGAACATTAACACCCGACTAATAAATCTACATTCTCGACACTATTTTCGCGCGAATTTCGAAATTTTTGCTTAATTCTTACTCAAAACAGTAAAATAAAGTTTCTGGTTTATTTTCAAGTATTTAAAAAAAAAAATAAAAAAAATTCCGAATTTTACCCTAATGTATACAGGGTGTTCCACGTTTAAAGTACCAAACTTTATCAATATATTCTATGGGTATAAACAAAAAAAAAATGTTATATAAACATAGCTTGTTTAACGCTTTCTTAAAAAGTATCGTTATCAATGCAGAAGTAAATGAGACAAGGAAAGAAATAGGGATAGACAAGGACAGATAATTCCAAACTAACGCCATCTCGTGTTTGGTGACGCGAACTACGAGTTTTTAATAGGAACACAGAATGTATACAGAGGTACTACACAAGAAAAGCACTAGTGTGCGAGAAGGATAGAGAGAAAACGTTTCCTATTGGCCCGCGGGCTCCACTTTCCAAGTCCTAAATAAAGTCGGTCATTGAAAAATCTTTAATAACTCGTTATTTACGATGAATTTGTGAACTTTTAGAATTGAAGAATATAGTATGAACCTCTAGCAGCTTTCTCATATAGGTTTGAAAGCCCTAGTTCCTTTCAATAATTAGTTATTAATAATTATTATGCGAATTATCGGGAACGATACGACAGTCCCTTAAGGTTTTTCATTAATATCATTGTTCGTTATCAATTTCCTGTACAATTTTTAAATGCATATGGAAGGCAGCAGCTTTGGCTATATTCTTATATAATTTTCAGTAACATATACGTTATAGTCTGATAGTTATTAAACATTATTCAAGAGAATGCTGTACTCGTAGAATTTAAGCATAACACTGTTCTGTCAATTTAATGGAATTTAATGGAATTGCATGATTAATTTTATACTTTCAAGCGGATAGAATGTAGCACGGACTTTCGTTTATATTCTGCAATAAGTTTTGTACGAGTATGTAATGCGATTTATTAAATATTAGCAATTGTTTATAGCAGTTGAACTCACTCGGATTTGATAAGCGAAGGACTCTTCCACATAATGTCTAATAACTCGTAAACTACAGTGACAATATTAATGCAAATTATACGAGAAGGTAGGTAAAGAATCATGATTTCTAATGAACGTGTCAAAGTGCATAAATTACATGACTAAAGGTACGAAAGTAATGAAAAACCTTAAAGTAGTGTTGTATTTTTCCTAACACTCCGTGTAAGAATTGTTAATAACTAATTATTGAAAGGGGTTAATGATTCAATCTTATATCAGGAAATTGCTAGAGACTCATACTTTAGTTTTTAATATTGAAAGTTCACAAATTCGTCACTAATAATGAGTTATTAACAATTTTTCCTCGACCGACTTGACCTGTGGCTAGGAAAGCCAAACTTAGCGGCCCGCGGACCAATAGGAAACGTTTCTCTCTATCCTTCTCGCACACTAGTGCTTTCCTTGTCTAATACCTCTGTTTACATTCTGTGTTCCTATTAAAAAGTCGTAGTTCACGTCACCAAATACGAGATGGCGTCAGTTTAACTTTTGAAATTATAAAGTATATGTAATACTATAAGTGTGATATTTTAGGATAACATTGAATTATTTTTTCATCAGAGAAATTTTTATCATAATCGGAGAAATCAATAATGCGGTTCTTTTAAAAGCATAAAATGACCTTGTCTTTTTAATTTTTACAATAACAATGTTTTGTAAAAATAAATTAGGAGAAAAGTGCATATGTTGAGAAATAAAAAATACATAAAAGAATTAAATATATATTGTAAATGATTAATTAAAATAAGGAAGTACAATAGAAGCCCAATTATCGTGCCAACGGTTCTCTTGGAATTTATTTAATTTTGCGCGGAATTTTTTATTCAATTTGTGCTGAATATCATTATTAGGGAAGTTTTCAAACCATGATTTTAATTGTACTGCTAATTCCTTATCGTTTGAAAAAATCATTCCATTTTCATTGTGTTGAACAAGTTCTGGTAAGCTAAAATGTAAAAACACAATATAAGAAGTTTGAATGCAAGACGTAAATTTAAAATACTATAAATA